CGGGTCTGGTCTGTGTGTCTTCTGTTCTCTTTCTTTCTCCTTGTCTTTCTTCTTTGCCACTTTTGTTGTGTTTCGTAGTATTTAGCCATTATGCAAGTTTCTCCATATCACAAAAATATCTCCACATTTCCTCTGACAGCAAAATTATTTCAAGTTAATAGAACAGCGAAAAATGGGTAATCTTATAGGCCTTTTAAAGTCTTAGGAATTCCGTCTCGTAGGGGCGGAGGAGTGAGGGAGAGGCTGGCTGTCACGCGTGAGCCAGGCCCGCGGGCAGAGCAGCGCCCGTCTGCGCGCGCTGCCTGCACCGCACGTTCCTCACGTTTCCGCGCCCACTGACTCACTCGTTCTTTGCAGTTAACCTTTAAAGAAGGAAAGGCATTCATTACGATGGTGGTGACTTTAGGGCCAGGTAAACTGAGGCCCGGGAGGTTCAGTGATTGGCCCGTGGTCACACTGTGAAAGGACAGGGGAGGCCACAGGCTCTGGCCACAGCGTTGTCACGCTTGCTGTGCCGCCTGGGGCGGCCGCCTCCCCTTCCTGGGCCTCAGCGTCTCCGTCCACACGACAGGGCCGAGATGCGAGTCAGCTTGGCCGTGCGCGTAGGCTAGACCGGAGCCTGGAGTCAGCATTCCTCCGGGAATCCCGCCCTGCCGCCTTCCGGGTCCGAGCAGGAGCAAACGGAGAACCCTCCGACCCTCCGTCCCCGCCTGGCGGGGCAGGGGTGGGCGTCGCGTGAGATGGCGCCAGCACAGCGCCCGCAGTCCCTGGCTCGAGTCAGTCTCAGTCCGTGGTGGTGACATTCGCCCTCAGGGCAGTGCCCCTCCCATCACGTCACCCGTCAGAGCGGACAGAGTGACCTCCCGCCTGCCAGACCTCGAGGGGCCGGACCCTGCGTCGGTCTGGGTGCCAGCTGAGCTTCCTGGGTGTGGGGCTTCCCGAACGTTCCCTCCTTCCCCCAGGCCTGACCCCCCCATCGGCAACACTGGGGAGCCCAGGCCCTGCCAGGCCAGGCCCTCCTGGGACCCTCAGTCTCCCCGCGCCCCGTGCCGAGGACAGGGCGGCTTCAGAGCCGCCCCGTGTTGAGTCTTTGCGGAGAGACAACAAAGTCGGATTCTTAAATTCTTCATTAGAGAGATTTCATAAAGGCTTTTAAGTATTTTTTTCTTCCCCCACACTACCAAATGAAATAATTGCATAATTAGTAATAAATTTGTTCTTCCTCTAAATGCGGATTTTTTTTTAGGGTGTGTTAAAAATTTATCACGCTTCCTTCCCCTGACCCCTTTCTTCCACTCGAGTCCCCGACTGGTATTAATGCATTTTTTAACCTAAACTCCCTCCTCCTTTTAACTAGACAGGTCATTAATAAAATGTTCTCCGAGAGCCTGAGCTTTTTAAAGTTGTATATCTCCAGATAGATGGCTCGGGTGAGTTGCACACTGCTGCATTAAGTCTCTGTGATAAAATATTTATTCACCATTAGAATTTTTTTTTCTTTCGGACTGTTTGTGAAGTGTCTTGCTCTTTTCCTCGAGGCGGAGCGGGAGGAGGAAGGGCCCCAGAGTGAGCTCTGCAGAAGAAGCCATTTCTCAGTTCCAGCGAGCTCTCCTTCGGTCCCCTGCCTCGGCTGTCGGGGGGGCCGGGAGGGGGCAGGGCGTCGGGAAACGGCCTCCTGCCGGCCTCGCACCCCCGGGCCGGGAAGGGGAGGGGGCGTGTAGGATGAAAGAGGCAGCACCGTTCCTCTCGTGGCTTCATCGTGCTGTGGGTTTACGGCTCTGATGGAGCCCATTTTAAGACATTAGAGTCCAGGTCCGTTTAATAATCATAAACATTACCCTAATAGCCTCCCTTTATTGATTGTATACCGTGGGCTAAGAGCCGGGCTCAACTGTGTGTCTTTGTATCTATGAATATATTCAGTATTTCTAATAATCGTAAAACTGAGCAAGGCGCTGATGGATGACAGAAAGTGACGTGTCCAGATTCTCTGCTTTCATCCGTCTGTCCATTTCGTCAGCTCATCCGCTCACGGGTGCTTTTGTGTCTGCCATGAGCCAAGGTGCTCGGCCAGGAGTTGGGAATCAACCTCTGGCGTACTAGGAGGAGCTGCTGTCCCCAGGAAGCTTCCGTTTGGGAAGGTAGACAACGAAGAGCAGAGCGAGGTCATGACTTCCCCCGGCCAGTGCCTGGAAGAGAAGGGAGCTCACGGCCTGAGCATCCGTGCTGAGCCTTTGCTCTCTGACCCGATTCAGGTGTGGGACATACTCCCAGCCCCCGCATCCCCCACCCCCGGCACTGCCCCTGCTGCCGGGTCTCTGAGTCACCAGCGGGCCTTCCCAGTGTGGTTTGCTCTGCCACGTTGACTCGACACTACGAATGTGGCTTTTTGAGTTTGCGTCACGTTGCCGGACTCATACCGCACTGCCTGCCCGATAGCTCCCTCAGATGTCTAATGCAGGAGCCCGGCTGGTCGTCTCCCACTCAAACGCTCCGCCGAGGTCGGGCTGCAGCACTCCCCTGCTTAGGCCTTCTGGTAGCTTTTCACTGCAGTCAGCATGACAAACCCCAGTCCTCGCCCTGACCCGTCCCCTCTCCTGGCCTCCCCTCTGGTCCCCTCGAGTTTGCTTCCTGTCCCGCAGCTGCGCTGGCTTCCATCTGGTCCACAGACTGGCCAAGCTCATTCGTGTCACAGGGCCTTTGCATGCGCTGTCTCCTAGCCTGGCGCCAGGTCTTGGTGTGGCCGCCTCCTCCCTGCCATCCGGGTTTTGCAGGCTCACCCCTGCCTCCCATGCTTCCGGGAAGCAGAGTGAGGCATGGAAACCCGGGAGTCCCCTCCTCCCTCTCTCTGCCCCGCAGCCCCATCGCAATCCTCTGCCTGGCATTTGTGTCCGTGTTTCTGTTTTCGCTTCCAGTTTCCCCTCTCCAGTATGTGCCATCTCACACACTAGCCTTTATTGAGATGAAAGGAAATTAAACATTCAGTCCCGCAGTTACTAGCTGCATTTCAAGTGCTTGGTAGCCAAGGACGGATGGCTCCTGAATTGGGTGGCACGGTAGAGAGCATTCCATCATCGCAGAAAGTTCTAGAGTGCCTGCTCCTCAGGGCAGGGACACTGTGTGCATGGTTCTAGCCACGCCTCCAGCACCCAGTGTGGAGTCTGGCACACAGTAGGTGTCTGGGACGGAAATGCACTGTGACGGGTGGCACCCTGTGCTGGACGGTGCTGTGTGGACCCCAAGGGGACACCTTCCTTTCAGGGCGAGGGAGGCTGCTCGAGCACGTGCACCTGTGAGTGTGGAATTGCAGTGTATGCTCAAGAGTGGAGGCAACAGATGCCCTGGGCTGTAGAAGGCAGCAGACCTCAGCTCGCCTCCCACCCTGCACGCACCAGCCGGGAGCCTCTTTGAGCCTTAACATCCCCGTCTGGAAGATGGGGTAGCGTCCACGTGACGTCTCAGCTGTTGCAGGGCTATGTCGGATCAGAGCAGCTGCACCAGTGCTCTGGAGGCACCAGCGCAGTGTTTCTTGCAGTGCTGTCCGTGGACCGGTCACCTGTTGGGTGACCCAGTGTTGGGGTCACCTGCAGCCTTTCCTTGGGGGTCGGGCCCCTCAATATCCTCTTGATAGCAATGCACACATCATTCCAGATGGATCTTGGCATTGCAGCTGCCATGATCTGTGGCATAAATATGAATTTCCTATGAGGGAAGAATAAACCCCTCTCAGAGGGCAGAGGATTTGGGCTGGAAGGAGACAGCCCTTTGGAAAGGCCGAGCCAGGTGAAGCCCATGGGAGCTTGGCAGGGCTGTCCACCCTGCGTGTGGCAAGGGTTGGGGTCTGTCCCTGAGCCAGTAGCCTGCACCCTGCACCTCTCAGCCCTCATGAGACTGTCCTCCCGTCCTGGCCCCCAACCTCTCCCTCACTCCTGTCCCCGTGGGTCAGATTCATTAACAGTACGGCAGACGTGACGGCAGCAGGTAGCATTCTCTGTGCGTGCCCTGTGCCAGGCACTGGGATGGCTCATTTAACTCTCGGGCCAGTGCTGTGCAAGACAGTCACGTGTCGCGTAAGGGGGGGAGTACGTTCTGAGAGATGCATTGCTGGGTGGTGATGTCGTCATGCAAACATCGCGGAGTGTACTTGCATAAACCTAGATGGGATGGGCTACCGTCCCTAGGCTACAAGCCTGTTCAACCTGTCACTGTACTGAATGCAGTTAGAACATAACAGTAAGTAGTTGTGCATGTAAACAAATTGAACACAGAAAAGGTACATGAAAAATACGGCATTATAATCTTACAGGACCAACATCGCATGTGGAGTTCGTTGTTGGCCAACACGTCACGTGGCACGTGACTGTGTTGTCATCACTCCCTTCTGTAAGTGAGGAGACAGTGGCACAGAGAGGGTGAGGACTGGCCCCAGGTCCTGTAGCTAGAAAGCGGCAGAGCCAGGCTTTGAACCCAGCGCCTGGCTCTGGAGCCATTTCTTGGCCACTGTGCTGGGAGGCCACACTGTGCGTCCCTCTGTGAGGAACAGGGGGTGGGGGATGGGGCGCTGCCATCCCCGGCATTGCCATGCTTGCTAAAATGAAGTGACAGCGCCGAGGGATAGCCTGGGAGGAGCTGGTCTGGACTGATGTCAAAACCGTGCTGATTCCCGCTGGCGGCCGTCTGCTTCCCTCTCGGGCCGGGCCTGCGGGGTGTGCCGAGCCCTCGCCCAGAGAAGTGCCCATGTGAACTGAGCTGGAAGCAGCGCTGCACAGAGGGGCTGCGGCCCCCTAGGTCACACCCCTCCTCGGCCCCTACCCCGGCCCCGGCCGTGCGTCCCGTCTGTGCTGGCATCTGCTCCGCCAGCACCCACTGGAAACTTGCACCTCCCAGGCTCCCCCGCCCCACTCCCCAGCTGGCTGGTCGTGGCCCTGGCATGGGACCCGTTGTGCCAGAGAAGCCGGCCACTGTGTGCTGCGCTCACGGGCCTGGGTGCTACCCCAGCGTGTCCTCATGGCAGCCCTGCTTTGCACAGGAGGACACTGCAGCTGGGGAGGGGAGTCCGAGCTGGGGTCTCCAGGGTGGACCCCAGCCAGGTCAGCCCCCCAGGATATTAACGCCATCCAGCTCTTGCCTGTCTCACAGGAGGGCCCAGACTGTGCCATGCCCTCACCTTGTGGCGCCCAGAGCCCACTGCCGTCCCCCAGGGAGGGTGCTACTCACCTGGCCTCTCTCTCTGCAGGCCAGAAGCACTTGTGTGTCACCAGCCTCCTGATCTGCCAGGGTCTGCTCTGGGTGGGCACTGACCAGGGTGTCATCGTCCTGCTGCCTGTGCCTCGGCTGGAGGGCATCCCCAAGATCACAGGTGAGCTTCCGGGAGCTGGTCTTGGCAGGGCCCCGGGGTTGGCTGCAGATGGCCAGCAGGGCTTGGCGGGGAGGGCGAATTGGGCCCAGGTGTTGACCCTGTCTTCTGACTCGGGGGTTGGGGTCCAGTCTTCAGCTTCCTGTCATCTCTGGTGGCACAGTGGAACTAAGTCATGTTAGTCCCAGAGTCTCCTTTGCCTTTTTTTTGAGTCTCAGTTTCCTAATCTGGCAAATGGGCACAGTCATGACTTAAGGATTGGCTGAGACACCTGACTAATGGCAGAGGCTCTACTGGCCCCTTCTACTTCCTCCCACTGCAGTTTCAAAACGTCCAGGCTCCAGAGGTAGAAGTGTGGAATTGAAGTGTTCGCTCAAGAGCAGAAGCAATAGATGCACTGGGCTGTAGAAGGGCCAGGCCTGGCGTCCTCATGGGGTCCGCGTGCAAACGTGTGTGCATGGATCAGAGGACGGTCTGCTCTGAGCTACGCCACCAGGGCCAGGAGAGCAAGGGCAGGGCCAGGGGGGAGGACCTCAACGTTTGGACACCTGGAGCCCTGGGCCCGTCTGTCTGTCCTGAGATGATGGCACAGTGGTCGGTTCCAGCAGAGAGTGGGGCGAGAGGAGTGTGCAGCCCTGGGGGTGGGGCAGCCCCGCCCAGGCCTTGAGCCCCTCTGCCTAGGAGGAGTCGCTTCTAAATCCCCACGTTCCCATTGTCGTGGCTCATCACACCAGCACCGTGTTCACGCCAGGGGTGTTCCCGAGGGGCCCGTCTCCAGACCGGGTCCTGGGCGCGAGGCTGAACGAGCTGAGCCCCTGCCCGCAGACAGCTTTGGCCTCCCAGGGGCCGCTGTAGTCCGGTGGCCGGTGCTGTGGTGGGGGTGCTCCAGGGTTGGGGGGTGCCGAGAGGGGCAGATTCCGGAGGGAGTTGGCAGGAGGAGCTTGAGCTGGACCTCACGGAAGAGTTGCAGATTCAGGTAGACGTGAAAGGCTTTCTAGGCAGAGGCAACAGCGTGGGCAAAGGTTCAGAGACAGAGGAAATTCTCAGGGAATGTGACACCAGGGTTCCCCGAGTGGTGTGTAAGGTCGCTCGCCCCTGTTCTAGTCCCCAGAAAAAGGTGGCCCTGGAGCATGGCAGAGCCAGACCCGTGGCCTTTGGGGACGTGCCCAAAGATTGCAGCCACCGAAAACAGCCCACCCAGAAAGTTCTCAGGAGAGACGTGTGGGCGCCTCCCTGAATGCTCCGGGCCTTCGGGCCCCTTCTCCCTCGCCCGTCTCCTGTAGGGAAGGGCATGGTCTCGCTCAACGGTCACTGCGGGCCTGTGGCCTTCCTGGCGGTGGCGACCAGCATCCTGGCCCCGGACATCCTGCGGAGCGACCAGGAGGAGGCTGAGGGGCCGCGGGCCGAGGAGGACAAGCCGGACGGGCAGGCTCCCGAGCCGGTGCCCGCGCCCGACAGCCACGTGGGCCGGGAGCTGACCCGGAAGAAGGGCATCCTGCTGCAGTACCGCCTGCGCTCCACGGCGCACCTGCCCGGCCCGCTGCTCTCCATGCGCGAGCCCGCGCCCGCCGACGGCTCGGCGCTGGAGCACAGCGAGGAGGACGGCTCCATCTACGAGATGGCCGACGACCCCGACGTCTGGGTGCGCAGCCGGCCCTGCGCCCGCGACGCCCACCGCAAGGAGATCTGCTCCGTGGCCATCATCTCCGGCGGGCAAGGCTACCGCAACTTCGGCGGCCTGGGCGGCAGCGGGAGGCCGGCGCCGTGCGGGGAGACGGACAGCACCCTCCTCATCTGGCAGGCGCCCCTGACGCTATAGCCCCGCCCCGCCGGGGCGCAGGCGCAGCTGCAGGCCTGGCCGCGGCGGGTCGCGCTGTCCCCGAGGTCCCCAGCCGGTGCGGGAAGACTCGCGCTCCAGGGGCCCGCCCGGGCCGCGCGCACAGGCCTGGATTCTCCAAGACGACTTTGGCAGGGTGAAGGAAAACCTCCTATTTTTACAGATATTTTTTTTTTCCCAGAGTGTTTTGGGGAGGGGTTTTAGGGTTAGGGGAGAGGAAGGACACATCCGGAGGGAAATGGCCTTCTTTTTAAAAGCGAAAAACACAAAACCTCACGACTGCCTGGCAAGCCCAGCACCGCCTGTCCCGGCCGCTCGGGGCTCCCAGGCAGGCGCGCGCCCGCCTGCAGGTGCGTGCGCGTGCGCGCGTGTGGGCCGCGTGTGAATATATATAAATACATATACATGGTGTACATTCTATGTGTATAAATACAGTCTGTACATATTGGAGCTCTGGGAGATGCTGGAATAAATGGCGAGAGCCTCATCGGTGCTTGGAGCGAGGCCTCGTTTCTCTGAGACGCGGGGGGAGGCGGAGAGAGAGCTGCTGGCGGGCAGGGGGGGCCGTCGCGGCCGGGGCCACTCAGCGTCGGCGGGACCGGGCAGGGCTGCCCGGGAGTCCCCTAGCACTAGCCACACGTGGCTCGTAAACCTTCAAATTAATTCAAATTCAATCCAATGTTGAGACCCTCCGTCGCTGTAGCCGCATTTCAGGTGTGGCTGGAGCAGCCCCAGGGGGTCCGGGGCCACGGATTAGACAGCCCAGGTAAGGCCGTTCCCATCACCGCAGGACGTCCCCTTCTGCTCGAGAAGGGGCTTCCGGGGCTCCCTTTCTGAGTGTCTTTTGAAGAAAGGATTGGGGCCCCCAGCTCTGGAACGGCACGGAGGCAGGAGGCCTCGGCGTCTAACGGCACACGCCGGGGAGGGAGGGGAGGCAGAAGGGGGTCGCAGCAGCTTGATGCCCTGGGGGTGGGGGCTCGGGACTGGGGGTCCGAGGGAGGGTGGGGTGAGTTCCAGACGGGGTCTGTCGGCAGCCGGAGCAGAGCCCAGTTGCAGGTGGGGTTGATGGGGGCTGCCTGTGGCCCTGGCGTCTGTCTCTGGCTCAGTCCCTCCTTAGATTT